CCCCCCCCCCATCATACTGCCCGTCCACCCGCTTTTTTTCTGAGCAGAACGGTGAGAACTACAATTCTAGAACCCCGAATCGTCTGGCAGAAGAACCGCTTCATTTGCAAGCCGGCCCTTTTTTCTTTAATTGGCTTCCCTCCCTCGAGAGCTCGTCTTCCAGAAAGGCAAGCGTGCAAGTTGCACAGGCGTGCAAACACACACACACACGCACGCACACATCCTCGCAGGGAGGCTGCTGCTGGTTTCTTCAGCTCCTACAAGGTGTCCCGCTTCCCGGGCCGGCGTTCAGGGTTGAAGAAGCGCAACCCCCCAAGCAGCCCCGGCCATCCAGCCGGGCCTGGTCCGAAGGCCCCGTTTACACCTTGCTCCGGAAGAGCGGCTTGGCCCCCGGCCCGCAGTACTCGTTGTAAATGAGCTTGAAGAGGAAGAGGTGGAAGAGGGTGATGAGGGAGGCCACGCTGAACCAGAAGAGGAAAGGGAGGCCCGGGTAGCGCTTGGCCATGTGCTCCTCGTGCGCCAGGATGGCCTTGAGGTGGAGGGTGTGGCGCAGGTCCTGCAGGTGCACCAGGTCAGGGGAGATGTAGAGCAGGGGCGTGATGGGCTGAGTCACCATGACGGGGAAGGTGTGGCCGTGCACTTGGGAGGTCAGCTCCACGGGGTCGTTGGCGCAGCCGCCCTCGCAGGCGTACAGCTTGACCGGCTTCTCCTGGAACTTGACGGAGACGTGCAGGAAGGGCTTGCCGTCGGCATCCAGCAACACCGCCAGGCTGATCAGGTCCTTGTTGTAACGGATCCCCCGCAAGGCGTAGCTGTTCTGGAGGACCTCCGGGTCGGACTGGAACTGCAGGTGGTTCTCAGTGAACTGCAGCCCGCCGAAGCTCAGCACCATCCCCTGCATGAGGCCGTGGGCCCCGGCGGCCACCAGCCCCTTGCAGCCGCGCTTCTGCAGCGTCAGCTTCCAGAGGTTGGAGAGCTGCAAAACCTGCAGGACGGTGGACAGCTGCCCGGGCCACAGGTTCGCGGCGTGCATGGTGGCGTGGCCACTGAAGCAGTGGTCGGCGTAGTTCAGCGTGGCCTCCATTTTCTCCTTCTCCTCGGGACCGTGGCGGGGGTCCAGGAGGGGAGCCGGGGTGGTGGAGAGGACGAAGTAAAGCGTCAGGTTGACGGTGTCGCCGGAGGGGGTGTGAGCGTCGGTGATCTTGCGCATTTCCACACCTAAAAGGCAAAAAAGATCTCTCAGCGCTTTTTTTTAAAAAAAAAAATTTTTTATTTTAATTATAAGAATACAATGCTAGGTAACTGATCTAGCATTACAATTGTTATACATATATACATTTCATTTCATCGTTTATATCTCCTTTTGAGATATTTATTTACTAATTATTCTAATCATAACTACTACTGCTCCGACCTTGTCTTCTTTTATATAGCCATCGATAACATGTATTCCCTATTTCATAATACTTAGATTCTCCTTTGTCTTTTAATTCTAGAATTAACCTATCTCATTCTGCACGTGCCATAATTTTTCTTATTATCTCTGTTTCTGGAGATATGTTTTCATTTTTTTCCAATATTGTGCATATATTATTCTAACTGCCGTCAATACGTGTACGATTAGACACATTAAATTCTCCCTATAGCTTTCTGATACTATTCCTAGATTCCTAGCCACACTTCCACTCCCTGTCGGCTGTTCCTCCTAATAATAATCAGAAAAAAAATCCGGTTTAAATGGAATATACCCTCCCACCATTTGTTCCACCCATGTCTGAAGCTCTGTCCTCCTCTGGAATAAACAACCTTGGACAATAAGATAATAAGTCTTGGATAATAAAGGGAATAAAAGTCCACCATTAAAATTCTCGCATTGTTACCTAGCAAGGACTTTCTCTACCTTCTCCTTACTTCTCTAAGAAGTGAGAAACCTTCCCATGGCCTGTACCAGTTAGGTCAGGGGTCCCCAAACTTGGCAACTTTAAGACTTGTGGACTTCAACTTGTGGTTTGGGGGAAGAGGGAGTATTCAGGAGAGCTCAAGTGAATAATAGTCAGCAAAAGAAAGGGAGGTGGTCTCTATTCCCCTCTTGTTTTTCACACATTTTCCTCCACGTATCTCCCTGTTCAAAGACTGCCCCTTTGTGGTAGTTGCTCCAGAAGCTGCACTTGTAAAGAGGTGTATTCCACTGTTTTAGGAATAGAGAGATTTAGGTGCTGATAATCCATTCTTAAAACTTAAAAAAAAACAGCAGAAAGATTAAGGGGACTTTTATGTTCTTGTGAAACACGTTGCAGAGTACGGAAATAGGAAATTGGGCTGAGAAAGATAATATGTTTTGGGAAATTCTCGATCCTTTCACAGTACTGAAAGTAGAAAGTAGTATAGCCTCCAAACTTGGCAACTTTAAGGCTTGTGGACTTCAACTTCCAAAAAATCTGGCTGGAGAATTCTGGGAGTTAAAATCCATCAGTCTGAAAAGTTGCCAAGTTTGGAGGCCTCTGAGTTAGCTCCTCGACTTATAAGTTTGTTTAGTAGCCGTTCAAACTTGCAACAGCACTGGGGGGGGGGGGGGAGTGAAATATGACCATTTCCCACATTTCCTGGCCGTTGCAGCTTCCCTGTCGTCACCCAAACAAACCCAAGGTGCTAAGCAACGAACGGGAGAAGCGAAGTAACCACCTTGTGTCAACTCATAAAACATTCCTAGGCCTGTTTTAGCAGTTGCCATAAAAGTTTGGCTCGAGAATCATGATTTAATTAGGGTGTTTAGGGTGTTTGCTGGAATCCTGACGGTACCTTGCTAACTTAAACAACTGTGCAACTGACTTAATAGCTATGGCAAGAAAAGGTGTAAACCAGGGCAAAACTCATTTAACAACTATCACAACTTAGCAACAGAACTTTCAGCTCAGCTGTACTTCTAAATTGAAGACTAGCTGTACTCCACGCTTGCTCAGGACTTTATAACCATCACTGTATTTTTTCATGAATAATTCTGATTATACAGTAGAACATTCTGACCCAACAAGGCAATTTCTACATTCTCGCTCTGGAGAGGCAGGCCTCTGAATTGAGCTGAACACGGGATGTTTTACTCCTCTGTGCCAATTCCCCGGGAACATGAGTAGAAGATACCATGGCTCAGATACTACTACTTTCGGGGAGAAAATGTCAAGATTTCTATCCCCAGAAACAAAAATCTGTTCCCCACAGCTCCAACTTGTTCTTTTTGCAGATTTCCTAAATCTTGCCTACCAAGAAACCATCTCAAAAGGAGAGGTGTAGGTGACTTATTTTCCAAAGCACCAGAAAGCAGGACAAGAAACAACGGGTGGAAACTAACTGAGGAGAGAAGCAACCTGAATTAAGAAGAAACTTCCTAACAGGGCAGACAATTAACCAGTGGAACAGCTGGCCACCAGAAGTTGTAGGAGGTTTTTAAGAAGAGACTGGACAGTCACTTGTCTGGAATGGTCTAAGGTCTCCTGCCTAAGCAGGGGGCTGGACTAGAAGACCTCCAAGGTTCCTTCCAGCTCTATTCTGATTATGTCCCAAAGGTGCTTTTTCAAAAGGCAACTGGGTTTTCTATTTTTTCCTTGAAAGCGTTTCGCTTCTCATTCAAGAAGCTTCTTCAGAATCAACTATATGAAGGTGACACACTTTAACTGGCAACTATCGGGGAAACCTTGTTTTGCAATGTTTGAAATGTGGATATGGATTGAAATTGTACACAGGACAGATAAAAGTATAAGTATTTTGAAAATATGAAAACCTTGAAAAGGCTATGTAATAGATTTAGATATGAATGAGAGAGTTATACAATAAGCCTGAGGGAAGTATTTGAAGGGAAAAAATAATAAAGAATATTTAAAGTAGCGATAAGACATGAAATTGAACGTGGAAGATAAAAGATGAATATCTAACTGATATTTTATCTGTATGGAGATTTGAAAACCTGGAACCAAGCTGTTCACTAAAAAAAGATGTTTTATTTTTCTTTGCTTTGTGAAAACTGAAATAAAATTCTCTTTTTTTAAAAAAAAAGAAGCTGCTTCTTCGAACCGAAGAAGCTTCTTGGGTGAGAAGCTAAAAGTTTTCAAGGGTAAAAAGAAAAACCAAGAAAGTCCAAATTGCCTTTTGGAAAAAAGCACCTTTGGGACCAGCATGACCTTGAGCTCTATTCTCTAATTCGATTTAACAAACCTCGAGCCAGTTACAGGTTTTGTGGTACATTTCAGCCCGCTCTACAGCCCCAAGCAGGCTTGTAGGACCACTGGAGTGGGGGGTCTCTCCAAACTCTGGCAACTTTTAAGACTCGCGGACTTCAGAGCCGGCTGAAGAGTTCTGAGACTTGAAGGGCACAAGTCTTCAAAGCTGCCAAGGTTGGAGACCCCTGTGCTGGAAGGAAACCTGCCTTGTTCTAAAACTGCTGCACCTCTGTGGCACCTGGTTGCTACCAAGCACCCAAAAGGCCCATTTCTGAGAACACCACACTCAACGGCACCGTCCAAGATGGGAAGTTGGCAGCGCCCCGGCACCCAAGGCTGCTCTGCAGCTGGTCCAAGCCAGTGGCCGTTGCCCGCACCTGAGATGAAGAGCTCGTCCCACGCCCGGCGGTGTTCCTGGACCAGCTCCTCGCTCCGCAGGGGCAGCACCTCCATCATCTCCCTCTTGGCCGCTTCCCGCAGCCGCCCGAAGGTCTCGTCCAGCTGGGCCGCCTCGATGGGCTCCGAGCTGAGCACCACGGAGAGCAGCGTCTCCTCGAAGCGCGACTTAGGTGCCACCTGCACCCGGCTGACCAGCTTCTTGGCTGCCACCACCACCAGCACCAGTTTCTCTCCGGCCGGCTGCAGCGCCCGGCCCGAGGACAGGAAGAACTGCCGGTCGCCGGCTTTCTCCAGGCTGGTGGCGAAGGAACGGCCCGAGGAAGAGGAGGAAGAGGATGAAGAACCCGGACCGGTCACTTCCAAAGCCACCAGCCGGTCAGTCGGATTGTCCACCACCAGGCGCTGCAGGTAGAGGTGGGGGCGTCCCCGGTGGGCCAGCAGCTCCTCCCGGACGGTCACGCAAGCCCCGCCGGGACCCCCGGGCTGGACGCAGCGGACCCTCCGCAGGGCCCCTTCCTTGGGCAGCAGGGCGGAGGCCCCCGCCTCGCTCTCCGCCCCGGCCGGGCCCCGCAGCTGAGCCAAAGGGCCGTAGTCGGTGGGCCAGGCCGGGCCAGGGGCGCCCGTGGGGGCCACCCAGAGGCGGTTGGCCTGGGCATCCAGCAGCAGGTGCCCGTTGCCCACCAGGCCCGGGGGCCCCTGGCCGGGGCCTTCCCCCAGCAGCCGGGCCTCTCCTCCCTTTCTCCAGGCGCGGGTCTCGGCCTGCAGGCACAGCCCCGCCGCGCCGCCCGAGGCTCCGCCGGGCCGCAGCCGAAGCAGGAGGCGCGGCCAGGCGCCGCCCAGGTACCAGGAGGCGGCCAGCAGGAAGGCCAGCAGGGCCAGCAGGCGACGCGCCCAGCTGCTGGAGAGCAGCCCCGGCAGGCCCTTCAGCCGCTGCTGCAGCCACATCGGGGCGGCCGCGCTAGCTCATGGCGCCTCGGCGGCGGCAGCTACGCGAGTCCCCGGCGTCGGCGCGGCCTAGTCGCCCGGCCTTCCGCCTCTCCTCCTCCTCCTCCTTCCGCCGCCGCTTCTGCTTGTTCTTCTCCGCCGTCTGGGGCGGTCCCGGGCGGGGCGTTGGCGGCTCCTCCTCCTCCTCCTCCTCCTGTTGCGGGCTCGGAGCGTCCCGAGGCCTCGGGGGTCCCCTGGCGGCGGAGAGGAAGGGAAGAGACGCTGGGGAGATAGCCTCTGGGCATGGGCAGAGCGCGCCTCTTCTTCCTCTCCTCCCGGGTCTCTGAGCCTGGGCGGCGGGTTCCGTCCCGGCGCGGGGTCTCTGAGCCTCTGCAGAGCGCTCCTCTTCGCCCGGGGCTTTCCTTCA